CGTTTTGAGACACTTTTTGAAAAGTGGAAAGTCGTCAAATTGACCAAATGGTAAGGCTTACCCCTTACCATTTTGGTCAATTTTGACGACTTTTTCAACTTTTCAAAAACTGTCTTAAAATGCTAAAAATGGCTTCCTAAGACTAATATCTTTCATTTTAGAGCGTTTTGAGACAGTTTTGAAAGTTGAACAAGTCGTCAAAATTGACCAAAATGGTAAGGCTTACCCTTACCATTTTGGTCAATTTTGACGACTTTTTGAATTTTCAAAAACTGTCTTAAAATGCTAAAAATGGCTTCCTAAGACATTAATCTTTCATTCTAGAGCGTTTTGAGACAATTTTTGAAAAGTTGAACAAGTCGTCAAAATTGACCAAAATGGTAAGGCTTACCCTTTACCATTTTGGTCAATTTTGACGACTTTTTCAACTTTTCAAAAACTGTCTTAAAATGCTAAAAATGGCTTCCTAAGACTAATATCTTTCATTTCAGAGCGTTTTGAGACACTTTTTGAAAAGTGGAAAAAGTCGTCAAAATTGACCAAAAATGGTAAAGGCTTACCCCTTACCATTTTGGTCAATTTTGACGACTTTTTCAACTTTTAAAAAACTGTCTCAAAATGCTAAAAATGGCTTCCTAAGACTAATATCTTTCATTCTAGAGCATTTTGAGACAGTTTTTGAAAAGTTAAAAAAGTCGTCAAAATTGACCAAAATGGTAAGGCTTACCCCTTACCATTTTGGTCAATTTGACGACTTTTTTGAACTGTTCAAAACGTCTTAAAATGCTAAAATTGCTTCCTAGACTAATATCTTTCATTTTAGAGCATTTTGAGACAGTTTTTGAAAGTTGAACAAGTCGTTAAAATTGACCAAAATGGTAAGGCTTACCCCTTACCATTTTGGTCAATTTTGACGACTTTTTTGAACTTTTCAAAAACTGTCTTAAATGCTAAAAATGGCTTCCTAAGACTAATATCTTTCATTTAGAGCGTTTTGAGACAGTTTTTGAAAAGTTGAACAAGTCGTCAAATTGACCAAAATGGTAAGGCTTACCCCTTACCATTTTGGTCAATTTTGACGACTTTTTGAATTTTCAAAACTGTCTTAAAATGCTAAAATGGCTTCCTAAGACTAATATCTTTCATTTTAGAGAGTTTTGAGACAGTTTTGAAAGTTGAACAAGTCGTCAAAATTGACCAAAATGGTAAGGCTTACCCCTTACCATTTTGGTCAATTTTGACGACTTTTTGAACTTTTCAAAAACTGTCTTAAAATGCTAAAAATGGCTTCCTAAGACTAATATCTTTCATTTTAGAGCGTTTTGAGACAATTTTTGAAAAGTTGAACAAGTCGTAAAAATTGACCAAAATGGTAAGGCTTACCCCTTACCATTTTGGTCAATTTTGACGACTTTTTGAACTTTTCAAAAACTGTCTCAAAATGCTCTAAAATGAAAGATATTAGTCTTAGGAAGCCATTTTTAGCATTTTAAGACAGTTTTTGAAAAGTTCAAAAAGTCGTCAAAATTGACCAAAATGGTAAGGGGTAACCTTACCATTTTGGTCAATTTTGACGACTTGTTCAACTTTTCAAAAACTGTCTCAAAACGCTCTAAAATGAAAGATATTAGTCTTAGGAAGCCATTTTTAGCATTTTAAGACAGTTTTTGAAAAGTTCAAAAAGTCGTCAAAATTGACCAAAATGGTAAGGGGTAAGCCTTACCATTTTGGTCAATTTTGACGACTTTTTCAACTTTTCAAAAACTATCTCAAAATGCTCTAAAATGAAAGATATTAGTCTCAGGAAGCCATTTTTAGCATTTTAAGACAGTTTTTGAAAAGTTCAAAAAGTCGTCAAAATTGACCAAAATGGTGAGGGGTAAGCCTTACCATTTTGGTCAATTTTGACGACTTTTTCAACTTTTTAAAATTTGTCTCAAAATGCTCTAAAATGAAAGATATTAACCTTAGGAAGCCATTTTTAGCATTTTAAGACAGTTTTTGAAAAGTTCAAACAGTCGTTAAAATTGACCAAAATGGTAAGGGGTAAGCCTTACCATTTTGGTCAATTTTGACGACTTTTTCAACTTTTCAAAAAGTGTCTCAAAATGCTCTAAAATGAAAGATATTAGTCTTAGGAAGCCATTTTTAGCATTTTAAGACAGTTTTTGAAAAGTTCAAAAAGTCGTCAAAATTGACCAAAATGGTAAGGGGTTAAGCCTTACCATTTTGGTCAATTTTGACGACTTTTTCAACTTTTCAAAATTTGTCCCAAAATGCTCTAAAATGAAAGATATTAGCCTTAGGAAGCCATTTTTAGCATTTTTAGACAGTTTTTGAAAAGTTCAAAAAGTCGTCAAAATTGACCAAAATGGTAAGGGGTAAGCCTTAGTTTTTGAACAGAACAGTAAAATGATGCAATATGTATATTATTTCTACATGTATAAAAAGGAATTTAAAACAATAGTGAAGGAAACTGGAGAAAGTTTTTTGAAACAAAACAGGAAATGAAACCTGGACTTTTATTTGCCTGGTCACTTCCTAACCTAATTTCAGTCCTAAAAATCCTAATTTTCGTCAATTTTTCGGGATATTTCAAAATTCGGTTCATGGTTCTGTATCGGTCGACATTTTATGTAAAAACTCGAAATGTTGAAGTATGTATATATATATAGCAAGTATATCAGTCAGTATGTAGCTAGCTATAAACTGTGTGTAGTTCATTATGAATTTAAAAGGTCTCCCGTTTCGCATGGTAGACCATTTAAGCATGTAATTAGCGGTCATGATTAATTAGTAATGGCGACCACAAATTGTTATCTGCCCAGGTGGCAAAACGTAGGAGTATTAGTTCAGCAGGAGCCTTTTGAAATGGTGAAGACGCCTGCATTGTCTGACGGACGTCTGAATAATTTTGCTTAATTTACCTGGGTCGGCCTTTTAAAACTGGATAGATACATATATATATAAGGCTTTCTCTCGGATGACTGATTTGATCTTTATAAAAAACTATCTCTACCAGAAGATGAAACACCTGTTTTTTGCCAGCAAAATGGGTGTAGAAGGCATTCATCTACTTGAGAAAGTTGGCTCAAAAGTTAAATATGAAAATCTGTATATAAATAGATTCAGTTAGTTTTCTTAAGGTCGTCTCCCGCTGATAAAACTGTGTGGTATTCACCATTTCAAACTGTGTATGTGAACACTACGAGTTGCCAAATCTGCTGTACGTTAGAAAGGCAGCCATGCCAGTAAAATCAATGTCATATAATTTATCAGCGATTGGTCTAACCATGAATACATCACTCATCAATCCATGCTCTAAACATGAAATATTTTGCCAAATGTGGCTTAAAGATAACATGAAAACTATAGTGACTCAAAAGTCAATTCATTATATATAATCTCGTAGTTCGCTGATATTTAGCGAGATTTTCGCGTGTTCTAGTCAAACTTAAATACATTCGTATATGCGTTAAATGTTTAGCTATCAGTTCATTATTACTATACTTGCATTATTTTAAATCTATGTGTATTGAACCGGCCAACTTATAAATCTTAAACTGAATCATTTTCAAATTTCAACGTCATGCAACGAGAGACTTGAGTGTTTTGATAGTCAATATTATCAGGTAAAGAAAATATCCTGCAAGCACAGTAGAACTGCGGTTGGTCGTCAAATCCTTGAGATGAGAGTTCTGCATCCCCAAACAACGAAAAGACATAATAGAAAGCCAGCGATTACGCTGCCTAGGACTATCAAAGCGAATTCCCAAGTTGCAAAATTACCACCTTTGTCTTCCTCGTCGCTCGAAGATTGTTTTGCCTGGCTGGGCGAAATATTCAACAATTGTTGACAGGCCAACGAGTTTTTCACACACTGACTTGAACAACAAAATCCACCATCACAATCTTCGTTGAACATACAAATTATCCCCTCACAACTTGATCGACACAACGGATAATGATTAGAACCAAGACAACATTTCATTGTACAGTTTGAAGCACCACAAATCTTCGATTCTACACCCTTTAAATTCATCCACAGAAAAACGCAGAACGAAAACAGCAAAATAGGGATCTCCTTCATTTTCAACAGTCGCGTTTGACAATTCCTCGCTACAGTTTTATCTAGTATGTGTTTTGTTTTCCGCCTGACGCAGCCCCCCAGTATGGGCTAGGAATGTCTTTTGAATAAGATGTGCATAAATTTAGCAATTTCTGAAGCAATTTCTGAAGCAATTTCTGAAGAACTCCACCAAAATCTAGCGAGAATAATTTGCTGTGGGATTCATGCAGGCATGTTTAAAAAGACACACAGAAATTGCTGCAAATTTCTTGATATTTTGCACAAACATTTTAAAATATATTTAACACAGAATTATAGTTAATAGGATTGTTGACGTTGTAATTCAGGTTAGATTCTATATTGCAATAAAACTACACTCGTAAAAACAAATTGTTAGGACAATTAATTTTACATTGTTTATTGTTTCTACAGTTCCGTAGTAAAAAATGAAGGCTTATTTGTTTAGCGAGCTTTGAATTTGGTTAGAATTCACATTTGTGTAGAAATTCAAACTGATTAAGGTTCTTACCGATTAGAATATAACCGTTCAAATGCACGGGTTTATTTGAACGTGTCTTTAATAGTTTTCTAAGATACCCTTTTCGTTTATTTTCACATGACACATTATATTATCAGATCAGATATTTGAAATCACCGAATGATTTGTAATGTAATTTGATATTTCGATCGCATACGGCAGGATTATGGAGCCAATTGAGAAATCACGGCAGCGAGACGTATATGATATTGACCGCTTCCAAAGTTTACATATTTCTGGAATTTTTTGCAGCGCATCGTGCAGAAAGAAAGCGATGACCAGTCAGCATATTGCTACCAAATATGGACGCGATGTGTTGGTCATAACGGAAATCACGCGCGAAAACGTCTCGGGTTTTGCGCGGAGTAAGGTTACACACACGACGCATTGCATCAAGTCGCGTCGCGTGGTACAGAAGCGAGTCACTCAATGCACTTTGTATTATAGCTTTACGCGATGAACGACTTTGATCAAAACGTTCGGGTGAGTTTCAAGCTTTCGCGTGAGGCTGCCATGAAGCTTCGTGAGTTTGCGCTAACCAAGACTGAACTTCTGTGTAATCTCGGCGTATTTGCTGTTCAATTGGGCAACGAGTCGCAGATATGCATTTCCTCTCCGTTAAACTTCGACAAAGATGTTCTCACCGGCGCGTCGCACTGCGCAAAAACCAGTGCCGGTAGACAACAGAAATCGCAAAATGGACAGGCGAAAAAACCGGGCGAATTACGTGACTCTAGACGCAGCCTACCCAAGATCGACAAAGCGCTTTTAAATGTTGACAGAGGAGTGCGACCCGTAGACCTAGCACTAGCCCGAGCTACGGCTGACTCGGTGATGATTTCCGATGGTTTATCGTCGATGAACTCGCTAAACAAAGCAGCATTCATGAATAGGACATCGACGCAAAAGAACAGAACTACCAGCCCGAAAACGGACCTTATATCAAGGAGAGAAGGACATCATAACAAAAATAGCCTTCGCGATTCATCAGCGTCCGCGGTTGGGAACAGTAGCCCAACAAATCAAGTGGCAATGAAACCCATATCCTACCATGGTGTTATCAAGTTTAACTCGAAAAACGACGAGGAGCTATGTAGAAGCTCACCGTATGGGAAAGAAGACTCCGATGATGCCAGACGCAGTAAAAACGTAAGAGGCGATAGCGTTTGTCGTCAGGATGAAATTCAAGATGGTTTGTCACGGAATATCGAGCGTGTAGCGAATGATGCAACGAAATATGGGAAGGAATTGAAAACGGCCTCAGAAGACGTACGCAAAATCCTAACGCAAAGCAACGAAGTGAGCGTTCCCAAGCTTCAAGTAAATTCTCAAGATTTATCCAAGGCTTCCTCTTCCATTGATCCTGATTCGAATAAGAACAAAGATGAGAAAAGAGCAATCAAAATGGACGCGCAAACGGCGACCTTGAATGAACATGATGGTATGTCTAATATGACAGATTCATTTGAATGTAGTGTAAACACGGACATCAATAGCGGCCTATCAACATTTCCTGCGCAAGGCATCTCGTTTGCCCAACACTTGATAAACCTTAGTAAACAATATCGGTTGGAAAACGAAAAATCGCCGATAATGGGAAGCGAGAAATTTTTCGCGACACAAGCGTCGCGAATTGTTCGCAACGATCACGTCCTCCGATGCTTCACCACCGGATGCGAAAAACAAGAGGATTTTATGGGCTTTACGGGTCAAAATGCGCTGTTATTCGATGGCAGTTACAAGGCGACAGCCGTGAAAAGTGCCGAAGAGTTGAGCAAAGAGCAAAGCGAAGCTTCGCCGACTAATTTGGACTCCATGTCAGAAACATCGGCTGATTCCCTTTTCGAAGACGCGAGATTGGGAAGTGTGGATGAATTAAGGTATGACATAAGTTTGTCTATCCCATATTCCTTCCGGATTAAACCCATGATATCGCATTTGAACACTGATGTGCCCTTTAAATTATTATCTCTCATATCAAAACACAATTTGATTGGTACGTCGTGTTTTGTTCGCGCGGCATAGGTCAGCAGTTAAAGAGCTTGCTTGCAATCCTTGGAGATTTTTCGCATATTTGTGATATTCTGAAGATTTAAAAGCAAAGCTCTGAGTAAAAAGCCTTTGTAAAGTATCCACCTACATTGTATCGTATGCCGTTCGCCTTGTGTTGGACTTGTGTTCGAGATGCAGCGACGAAAAAAGAAATCGCACGTTTTATTGCGTGCCAAGTAATGCTTCGTTTGACGTAATTACCGCCAAATTTAACAATGTCTAGGGAAATGTTGGCATGTTTATAATAAGATATTTCAATTGATTTTTTCGAATCTTGTTAAGTATTATAAAAATAGGATGGATAATTTTCCCCCAAGTACCGTAAAGGCTTGTGAATATTTTAGATAAATTCGCTCCAAATCTAGCTCTGAAATGCATGCACATTTTCTGGAAGAAATAAAGAAGAACTTTGGAATTTAAAAAATTATAGCTTTCCATAAAAAAAAATTAAAAATGGCTTAGGTAATAGAGCTTAGCGTGAACTTGCATGCAACCATTGCAGAATATCCGATTGACTAAAATTGTTTAAAATGTATAGCGGTTATTTCAGACTATTTTTATGTTTTGATCCACACGAGCGAAGATAGTGTGGAAAAAGTCCATTTCCACGATACAATTCGTTAACGGTATAATCGATTGTGATTTTGTGATGTGCGATTTCATATTTATCGTTTAAATACACGTAGCTCTGCGCTGGGTCGGCTGGCTCTGTATTTCAGAGTTTTCTTTCATTTTAACTAATGGCATTGCTTCAAGCAACAGTCCCATATCGCATTTCAGTTATGTGCACCCAATGGAGATTTGTTCGGCCTTGCATGGACTTTTTAATGCGATATTTTGCCCAGAGAAACCTCTTGTTTGAGGTAATTTTCTGCTCCTGTGCGAAGCTCTAGCTGGCTAGTAATGGTCACAAATTTCGGCAGCAACAATAAAGATTTACTTTCTCTTATAGCTTGTCTCCTTCTTCAAACGAGAATGCGCCTGCTTCCAGCGAAGAAAACTCCAGGGCGACCTCACCAACCCCTCCAGAAAGCAAACGGCCAGAGGATCAACAAACGAAGACAAAGCAGGAAAATCGAAAGAGGAAATTGTGTAAGTAAACTAAAGGAGTAGAGATCGAGTTGATCAAGACATGACTGAATATTACGTGTGCATGACTATAGTCTAGAGAGGCGACTCGGAGAAGTGCATTACTCCATTTATAGCGCACATTGCAAGCTAAAAGTTGAACAGTCTCGACAAGAACTATATTAGTAATGGCATTGTTGAAACTCATTATGTCTTCTTTATCCTTTTTCTAGATCAAAGGTACGTGAAAGGACACACTGGAATAATATGTAAGCTGTGCATGCATCCAGTTTCCAAATCGTACAGCTGCTACAAGCTTGCTCACGCCCCGAAAGAGATTCGTCATTTATTCGATGATGGCTCCCATTGTGTCAGAGTTTGTCGAAGATGCCTGCCGTACAAATCGCCAAAGAGAAGCGAAAAAAATACGCAGAAGAAACTACATAAGACTATCGAAAAGCTTCTGAAATAAGAATATTTGGGGTAGAGACACTCTATAATACAACGAAAAGTCTGTTGTCCGTCTCGTTTCCGACAAAACCGACAATCCTCTCGGACTCAAAATGAATATTCAACCGTAGTACTATGAACCTATAGTTGCATTCTGTTTGCTCGCCTTTAGGAGACATTATAAGTCTTATAGATATGAGCTACGTCTATGACGGCACTGGCAAGTTTATAATGCTAATTCACGAGACGAAATGCGAACGTTTTTTAAAATCTTCTTCACCAATTCTTTACCAATTTACCACTAAACATGTTGGTGAAAATTTGGTGATTTACAAACTAGTTTCATACTGTCTTTTGATGCGAAATTTCGTCAGGAAGAGAACTTTTTTCGTCGAAGGTCTCTTTTCAAAATATGCATTATCTTACTTTCATTTCCAAATCACGAATTCACCCAGTTCATATATATTCGAACCCTTTTAGGGTCTAATTTTGAGCCCCCGGGCTAAATGGCTACTGCAGAGCCTTAAAAACATATATTTATAAGCCGGTGAATAATAACTTTAGTGTTTTAGTTAGGTTTAAAAATAATTTTATTGTTATATAATGTATAATTTTATACACAATTTTAAAAATATACTGTATTTTGGCCGTACAAATAAATGTATATGTAAAAAGTCATGTTATATATTTCTTTCTATATTTACTTATAAATTTGATACATTGCCTTCTGTTTGAAGCGAAGGTCTTTTCACGAGGCTGTTTTGAAACGCGGTATCCCCGTTTGAAAAATTGAACAACAGAAAAGCGATTTAGGGCGCTTTTCATTAATACGGTAAAAACGGCCAGACCTGTCCTGTGTATTTCAGTACAGACAGATTATTGGTATTTTAGAGTGTTTCAAGAACTCTGCATTCAAGTATATCGTTATTTACATCTGCCTTGCATGGGAAATGCAGTTTCACCGCTATATTCTTAACGAAATGCTCTATTTCATTTCAAAATATGACCGGTCTGGCCATTTTGGCTGCCTAAAGCACAGCGCCTTTAGTCTCAGATGTTTGCACTGCTTTAGACTGCTGCACGCGCAATTTCGTCTGGAGTGACAACTGCTGATATATGCGATATATTCTCCTATATTTGTGCACATACGCGTATATATTTTGCATCATTCTTTGAATGAGTGATGTCAGCACAAATCATAAGCCAAGCTACGATTCTTGTGTGTATCCGTTGGAATTTAAGGAAAGTAAAAAACTTCAGGTGTTTCTAAGAGAGTACTTACAAAACTCCAAACGTCTACCAAGGAATGGTGTCCGTATGGACTACAATTCACATGTAGATTGTCTACCTACAAACATTGAGAATGCAGGATCAATTCGATGGGATAATGGACTGGACTTCTAGGAAGAACATTTCAGAACTGATCTACTATACATAAAGTTAGCTTAGTTTAGGTTTCCTCCTGTAGTAACACTGGATCAATAAGAGATGATCCTTACTGGACCTCTAGGAAGAACAGTTTAGAACTGATAGAACTATCCAGTATAAATAAAGTTAGTTATTTAAGGTTTTTTTTTATTTTCCGTCTTCTCGATGCCTTTAAAACCATGTCCATACCAACAAAGGCATGCAAGCAAAAAGGATAACTGTTTAATTTAAATAATTTTATTGCTATATAATGTATTTTATACACAATTTTATATACTGTATAACCGTCGTACAAAATTTTAGAATAATATATATTTCCATTCAATAAATAAGAATTAGTGCAGAAATCTTCAGAGAGCAATACAGCTTGAAAGAGTTGATCCACCATTGCATGCACACAAGCTAGCCTTTCAACTTTTATTTAACGTCCTGGAAACGGTCCTAATTGTCCCTTGTGCGAGGCAAAGATATGTTTAACGTAACATCGTAATTCGAGCGAGATATATATTGAACACAAAATCAAGGATTTGATATGGAGCCAAAATTTTCCACAACCTTGCGCCTGGGTTGAACTGCAACAAATCATCAAACTATATGTCTTTAGAACAGCAGTATACGTTCAGTCGACATATCAATCAAGGATATCCACCAATGATAACTGACTCGAGTATATTTTGCCATATTCTGAACCATCTAACAGGTTTAACTTTGGTTGCGAATGGCAAAACACCACAAACCATTGCCAGGCGACGGGCACGAAACATCACAACATACATACATTATTGGGATTATTATCATTGCATTTCGTAGCTAATTTGAGATTTATCTTCCTCATGTAATTCTTGCTTGCCTGCGCTCTTAGCCTCGTTTCTTGTTTAGTATTAGGACGTGAATGTATAAACTCCATGTGTAGTAAAGTTATATAATTTTCAAAACTCCGAACGATTACCAAGGACTCGTGTCTGTGTCGATTTCAACGCAGTTGTAAATAGCATACCTACGAATGGGCAGAGAGTGAATCAATTGGATGGTATAGGAACTTGTATCTGAAATAATATCCACGCATAGATTCCTACTGAACCTCTAGGAAGAAGAACTTGTAGAGCTGTCCAGTATAAATATATAAAGTTAGTTTAGTTTAGGTTTCCTCCTGTAGTAACACTGGATCAAGAAGAGATGATCCTTACTGAACCTCTAGGAAGAACAGTTTAGAACTAATAGAGCTATCCAGTATAAATTAAGTTAGTTTAGTTTAGGTTTCCTCCTGTAGTAACACTGAATAAATAAGAGATGATCCATACTGGACCTCTAGAAAGAACAGTTTAGAAGGAAGAACTTACCTAAGTTTCTTTTCGGCCACTTCAACAGATGAATACGAGGGAAGCATCAAAGTGCTGGCACAAGTTGAGGCCCCGGGTAAAGTATCTTTCTCGCCACACATCTGAGAAATCGTGATACACGCTGGCAGTCGTTTCCGGCCGGTTACGAAGCGAAGAAACCGACTGCGATCGTCGGCAGTAAAATTTTCTAACACCTTCCACAACTGAGCTACACACTCCGAGTCAGAAGACAGTTCGTCGCCATAGTGAACTAAAATATAAACCGCTTATCACATCTTGCGCTTTATTTTCAAAAGAGAAAACTGGGTTCAACCGACTTAACGCATGCGCCTTCATGTTACTCAACTGTTATGTTTCATTGTGTCTGAAGATAAGAAAATTTATCCATTTTTATAATATTTATATTTGGTTATCGTTTAATTCAAATTTTGCATCTCAAGATGGCTTTATTCTTAGGATCTGTTTCCAAACAATCTGATAGCAATCTTTTACCAAACGAACTGTTAGGAATCAGTTTCCAAACAAACTGTTAGAAATCTGTTTCCAAACAAACTGTTAGAAGTCTGTTTCCAAACAAACTGTTAGAAATCTGTTTACGAACTGTTTGCTGTCATGGACATATTTTGTGTAATTTTTTATAGAAATAAATAGATTTTTCAAAAAAGGTATTTAAAAAGCACTTACTTGATTCTTTCAGTAAAGACATGGAGATTTCGTTGAAACCACAAACACCTCTCTCAAGTTCATGTGATGTGATCAATTCTAGTAATGACTGCGGAATGACGGTGAGAAAACCATCGCGGATGGATGTGATCTTGGAAAAAAGAAATGAAAAGAATGTTTATAGATGTTTGGTGCTTCTGGACGAACAACGTATACGACTTTTAGGATTGAGTTGAGGATAAAAAACACTTTTACCAGCAAACAAAAAATACATGCAAAAAAAACTCCGAAGAGCATCATCGTAACTTGTAACCATGCAAAAAAAAACTCCGAAAGGCATCATCGTAACTTGTAACACAAGGCTTGAGCTTTAAACAAGGACGACAAATGTACAGTAATATTTCGATTTTCGAAGGCATCTTTTCAAAGGGTTCTTTTCAAAGGCATTCTCATGCAAACCTCCGACTATTCTGAATTGCCAATGACTTTGAAAAAATCGCCGAAAATTTGTCGTCTTGTTTTAAGACTCAAATATTGCCTTTAAAACTAAGATATTGTTTTCTCACTAAGTCAATAACAGCAACATCAGATTCATACCTGATCCAAAAACTCCATCATCCTACTCTTCTTCACAAGTTGACAATATTCTAGTCTCGTTTCATAATCGACCAGCAATTGATGGCCATTTTCCTTGACAGATTCTATCGTACCGTCACTAAACGCCGTAGTAAAGTCGAGATCTTTTCCGTACGTTGCATCAAATTCTTCCCTCTTCATCGATTCAAAGTTGTCTGAACAAAAAAGCATGTTATGATCTATTTTGCATCTATTTTGGATTCAATTCACTTCTGACGAATGGAATATAGTCCGTTTTTGATGAAGCAGTAGTGCATTGGCTTCAGTGGATTTGCTGCCCATAAACATTGCAAGACAACAGACTATAAAACATCCATCAGAAGTGAATTGGATCCAACAAAATTGGATCGTGTGAAACATACCTTTAGCGGGAAACGCGAAGACTAAAATGCAAACGGGTACTTGACGTATGAATTGCAGACAGAGCGCGTTTCTGATTGGATAACGCGCATCCAGTTAGCCAATCAGAGACATGCTTTGTCCGCAAACTACGTCACAGCACAGTCTTAGTATAAAGGTCTATATACAAGACCTGGACGTTCTTATGTCACTCTTATACTTACTGATCATGTTCACAGCGAGGGCATCGACGTTGGCAAAGTCTTTAGTCCACGTGACATGCTCACCAACCAATAGTTTCCAAACATATGGCGGGAAATACAGCGCCAGGGTCTCGTCACTGCGATAAGCAGCTCCCATTAACCTCCCCAGCCAATGGAAAACTTTCATGTTCTTGCATGATGGGTTGGGAATGAAGCAATCACGGTGATCGCCAACCTGATCCTAGAGAAACGTTTCGAAAAAATACGGATTTATTTATTTCCGTTTAGACCAAGTACTGGCACTTGTTCTTATTGCATTTACAAAGGTTAAAAATAAAAATAATTGAAAAAAAACAACATTGCAAAGCAGTAAGTACTAGACTAGTCAGGCTAATATTAGTAGCAACACTCAGTCAACACTCAGTCAGACTAGCGGTACTGCAATGATCAACTCACATTGAGGAAGGTTGAAAGAGAAACACTGAATAAAACATTGCAAAGCAGTAAGCACTAGACTAGTCAGGCTAGTATTAGTAGCAACAGTCAACACTCAGTCAGACTAGCAGTACTGCAATGATCAACTGACATTGAGGAAGGTTGAAAGAGAAACACTGAATAAAACATTGCAAAGTAGGAAGAAATATTAAATTAGCACTTCAAAATTTAATAGTTTGAGAATACAGGAAGACGCTATTGAAGAAACACTCAAGTTTAGAATAGGCCACTCACTGCCAATTAACAAACACATTGAACCGTGTCAGTAACTAATGACTATAGCCAGTTACATAAAGACTCTTTATATAACTATAGGTTCACGGCAAATTAACTTCTGGTGGATGCTTTATAGCTAGTCTGTTGACTTGCAAAGTATATGGCAACAGTCGACTCACTGCAACGCATTGCTGCTTTATCAATAACAAACTATAATCTATGCAAAATCCTCATGATGAAGTATTGTTAGAAACATGGGCGAGATGGTCTGAGCTGATAGCTTGTTTATCAATACCAGTTCTTATAGGAGGGAGTACAGTTTCTTATGGTGTAATTCTTTGCACCGAAGACTGGGTTGTTCTGGAAGCGATTTTGAAACACTGTGATTAACGGTTTAGTGAAATACGTTACCACGCCAATCACAACAACACCATTACCGAATACATGTCGTCTCCAGTTCTTCGACCACACGCGCGCAATGGGTATATTATGCCAGTGGATTTGAATAAAAGTGGCTAGGAAAATGAAGACAATTTCTATGCCCAGTCCGATCGCAGTCAGGATAAAAAACGATTTAAGAACAGTCCAGGCGGACATTTCAAAACTTGTGATGTGGTAGAGCACAATATAGGCTTGGCTGAGAATTAACGAGTTGCTATCAAACAGTATATTTTGAATATTCATGTCAGCTTTCAGTCGTCTATGATGCGGCGTATCTTCGTGCGAACGATGCATGTGAGCATATTTTGTTCGAAATCTCGATGATTCTCGCCCAGACCTTCCCCCTGATATTCACAGTCGCCACTTTGAGGACTCTGGAAACACCCGAGACAATACACAATCCTACAAACAGCCAAATATTCTTAAAATTCGCCTGCATTATCCGATACACAACTATTCCGGTAGCGGGTATGAATAAGGCAAAGCTTCGTTCAGGTCTGACGACTTGCGAGCTACATCGTAAAGCCATGCGCCTGCAAATGACTGCGAGCACGAGCGTCAAGGTCGGAGCTGTAATGGCCACGATGAATCTGAATAAGACATTTTCAAGCGAAATAAACCAGTAGACAAGAGCATATCTGTAAAACATAGCAACCGCAAAGGCCAGGAAAAACGGAAAAGCAACAATAATGAAGATTTGTAGATTTGGGTAGGATATGCCAGGGTCACATTTTCTGATCTTGCTAACCACAATAGCGCTTTCCATTATAACAGCGATTGCAAACAGTACGTTGCCTGGGACACGATACCATAGGCTTGTGTCGTAAACACGATACAGAAGTAAAAAACTCAAATACAATGTATAAAGTAGAGCGGTTAACAGCCCAACCAATATGGTCAAGGAATATTGACTTTTAAACTTCTTCCAGCCAAACAGAAGCGCCAGAAACATTGGAAACAAAACGTTAACGACAACAGCGTCAATTCCATTGCCCAGTAAGCGAATTCTCTGCACATCGAAGGAGAGGGTATTGTTTGATTTTATCATCCATTGAAAACACAAATCGACTGTTCTTAGATCAAAATAAATGAGAATCACTCCAAAAATAACCAAAGGGACTACAGCTGAGATGATAGTTAGGGTTGCCTTGAGACTTCTGAGGAACGACTGCCTGTAGCTTCGCCTGCTTTCGATTTCATAACCCAATTCAATATAATCCCTGCTCGAAGGAACGTTCTCTTCCCCAAACAAGGCATATTCGCTGTAAATCGTATCATTAAGCTGGCCATCCTGCTCTAAGGCACTTCCATTGTCGTTCACTTCGCGAGAAATTCGTGGAGTGCCCATAACCAAAGCGGAAAACAAGGATACAAGGGTAGAAATGATTCTGTCCAACATTTTAAAAGTGTTAAATTGAAAGTGTTTACGTAGAACTTCGTTAATCATTCAGACGTCGGTCATTTGAATCACAATGGATTTGAATTCAAAGAGAAGCTTGTTCTTTTTTTATTCATATATAACTGCACATTTATATTATAGGGACGGAACAGTTTATAACTGCGGGTTGCCTTTCAAAAGGCGATAACAAAATAATATTCGTTATGGTGCATCATTCAATAAAACAATGACATGCATAAAACTGGATTTACGAAACTACATTTGCGAAACACATGATTATTAGAGATGAATTCATCTGCTACAATACTAATTATCACGTATATTAGCCCACGTTTGTCACGAATAACAATCGTTGCTTGCTTATTAAATATTCTCTAGAGGTTCAAGATTATACTACAGTTTTTAGTGTGCTAGAATTTCACTTGGAAAACCATTGAATACTGTTTGCTTTGGCAGTGAACGACCTATGCAGTCAATACCAGTTTTAAAATGGCAGAGTACAATTCCTTATGGTGTAAACACCTAAACCAAAGGCATGGTTATCAAGGAAACGGTGTTGAAATACTACGAGCAAAGGTTTGGTGAAATACGTCACCAAACACACCATGAAGACACTATTAGCAAACATGTGTCGTTTCCAGACCATCGACCACGCACGCGCAATGGGTATATTACGCCAATGAATGTGGATAAAAGTGGATATGAAATTACACACAATTTCAATACTAATGCCGATCGCAATTCTTATCAGGGATGATTTTAGGACAGTCCAGGCAGACACTTCAAAACTTGTAATTTGGTAGAGCACGATATAAGCCTGGCTGAGAATTAATGAATTGCTATCAAACAGAATATTTTGAATATTCATGTCAGCTTTCAGTCGTCTATGACGAGGCGTGTTTCCAGGTAGATGCCGCAGTCTAATGCAACATGTTTTGTTCCAAAACGGGATAATTCTTGACCATATTTTCTCCCTGATGCCAACAGTCGCGGCCTTGAGGACCCCAGAGGTACCAGAGACAATGGATAGTACAATAAACCACCAAATATTCTTAAAATCTGCCTGTAATAGTCGATAAAGTATTATCCCGGCAGCATGGATGAAATAAACAAGGCCAAAGCTTCGTTCAGGGCTGATAATTTGTGAGCTACGCCACAATGCCATGTGTCTGCAAATGACTGAGACGAAGAGTGACAACGCTGGCGTCATCATCGCCACAATGAACCTGGAGAACGCGCTTTCAAAGGTAATGAACCAGTAGACAAGCGCGTACCTGTAAAGCAAAGCTATCGCAAAAAATAGTAACCATGGACAGGATATTACTGTGAATATCTGACAATTTGAGTAGGATATGCCAGGGTCACATTGTCTTATCTTGCGAACAACAATAGTGCTTACCACCAAAATGGCGGTTACAAACAGTACATTGCCTGGTACACGATACCATAAGCTTGTGTCATAAACATGATACAGAAGTAAAAAGCTCAAATACAATGTATAAAGTAGAGCGGCCAATAGCGCTATGAATACGGTCAGAGAATATTGACTTTTAAACTTTCTCCAACCAAACAGAATCACTAGACTCAATGGAAACCATAAGCTTAGAATCACAATTTCAATTCCATCACCGATTAAACGAATTCTCAGGACATCGAAGGAGAGGGTATCGTTTGACTTTGTCAGCAGTTGAAAACACAAATCGGTTGTTCTCAGATCAAAATAAATCAGAATCACTCCCAAAATAACCAAAGGAATTACAGCTAAGATTATGGTTAGCGTTGCCTTGAGACTTTTACAAAGCGATTCACCGAAGCTTCGCTTGTTTTCCATTACACCAGAAAGTGAAACATATTCCCTGCTCGAAGGAAAGTCCTCCTGCACCAACGAGGGATATTCACTCTGGCTCGTATCATTCGCATTAATAGGCTCATCTTGATCTCTGAAATTGCTGTTCATCTCACGATATATTCCCGGAACGTCCAGAGTTACAGCGAAAAAAAGAGATAAGAAAGTAGCGATAATGTCGTCCAACATTTTTGAAAGTTTTAAGCGATTGAGGACTATATCGAGTTATGAATCACCTGTTGGTACCTCGTTGACTTCTTACTATATACAGACGGTATAGTTGAACGACGAATTAAGTTGTCGATATATTATCACATTCCTTCACGCTGAACCGATGCTGTTGTGTTTGTGATTGCGTTTGGGGGGAGTATAGCCATCACCTGAGTCGAAATACTTTGCCATAAACAATAGGATTTAACTTCACGTTAGTTTCGTAATGCCGAGTTTCGAAATGCCGGGTTTCCTGTGGGTTTTTTTAACCCCGATAGATAGAATTAGGAATCAGTTGTCGTATGCGAAATATCTTATTTGGTTCCGCTATGATTGTGCTGACCACTGATCTTACAATACACTGGATGTATTCGTGTTCGACATTCCTTCTTTTCAAATTTATTGTTTTTAGGCTCAGTAAACACCAGTATATAAATATGCCTCCCTCCCCTAGCTAACCCAACGAACTAACCGTACATCTCAATAAATATCAATAAATTACTTGAAATATCACATTAGGAACATCGCTTCAACGGAAACTAACCATGTTCAAAGCCAGCCGGGGTCTAGTCAATTTTGCATTTCGAATCACTATATCGTATAAAGCTAAGATTATAGATAATGAGATAATAGGCCTCACGACAAAGAATTATTATTTGTCTATTAACCTATCAGTGATTTTACACGAATGATAAAATATTTCGGGGTTTTTGCGGTGTTATTTTCACGGAGAAGACCTTCACCGCCATTTTTTGTGGCTTCAAATTGATAATATTAAGCCGTGACGCGAACAGTTGCATTTTGAACTGATGTATGTCAAAAACACAGCAAACTTATGGCGTATCTAACACAGTATTGGTTCCCTACAGTTCGAATTGTATATGGACTAAAGTTTGTGTCCACAAAAATCCGAAATATGTGAGATTTAAACAGGTTTTTAACGAGCGGCCCTAGCAGAATCGACGTGAAGACACGACTGTATATATACTATCTTTAAAATGGTCACTTACCCTGTTATTAACAGTCTTTATTAGCAGAGGAAGTGTCTTGTTAACGTCGTCGTCTTGAGGACACAATTCATCCGAAATCTCCGACAATGAATCTCGGAAACCACCACCCTAAGATGAATATGAGAAGGAATGAATGGAAAATGCATTCATCTATCGTGAAAGCATCGAATCGGGAAATTTAAAAGCTCGTCGAAATGAATCAAGCCATGAAAAACAAAAGAAATAGCGTATTCGCCCCACCTGGTCAATTATTCCCTCTCCAACAAACTTCACCTCCCACCATTGTTCACATTTTCTTTTATTCCACCTAAAAGAGATGCGAGAAAATCATCATATATGTCTTCGCAAGCACTTTGAGAGTCCTCGGTAAAACCTCTTCCCTACACAGTGGACTCCACTTCTCTCGTTCACGAATTCACCCCTCCGTTCACGGCGAATCCCCCCCCTCCTTCGGTCAACCCCCTCCTCAATCAGGTCCTCAACCTCCTCGGTCTGTCAACCCGCGGTGGATCCCCCAAATCTCAACTATTAATACCCCTCCCTATCACGAAAAACCTCTATCCTCTCTTAGAGAATTTCTTCTTTCCTCAGCAAATTTTCCCCATCCACCCGGATGAATCCCTCGGTCAAACCAACAATATCATCCTTGTTGAACCCCTATTCCCTTTTCGGTGAATCCTCCCTCCTCCTTGGCGAATTCCCCCCATCCCTCCCCCGGCAAACCCCTCTCTTTCACACAAAGGTACAATGCAGTCGACAATATACTGACCTGAAACTCATATTCTCAGCTTTCAGCGATTCGAAAATTTGATAAAATACTGACGTGGCGGGGTTATCCAACCTCTGCTTTACGCACGCTCGCCGATCGACGTAAACGACCGGAGCTTGTTCGGGCAGAGGCTGCTCCGTGGCCCTTAACAGCTCACTCAAGATCCCAGTACGGCGATTGGACAATGGCAGAAGGAAACGTAAACACGACAATATACGACTTGCATTTGATTTCTCTCTCTTCGATTCCAGAGTCCACGGAAAATAAGGTTTTTTGGTTTCATTTAAGTCCATCTTTTGACTGGATTTGTTCGCAATTCGACCCAAGTTCTCCACAAACTGTTTAAACCTTTCTTCTTCTTTGTCCAAACGTTTTATTTGCTGTCTCAGTTCGATCAACTCTTGTTCGTTCATCTGGTCTTCTTTTGCGATTTCCGTTTGTTTGTCCACGATATCGTTTCGCTTCAGCTTGTGTTCTGTGATGCGTTGTTGCACGAGGTGGAACTGTTCCAGTTCGCCTGTGCTCATGTGTTTCGCTTGAGATTCCGCGTGTTCAATCATGATCTTCTGTTCGTCGAACAGTTGCATCTAGGAAATACAACAAGCGTCAGTATATAAATTAATAATTGAAGTTTTGCCAAATTATCAAATACTTCATGTATCAAACCACTGTGATCAAACATAGACCTTCTTCAGTGTCAGTTGATCATTGCAGTACTGCTAGTCTGACTAAGTGTTGACTGTTGCTACTAATACTAGCCTGACTAGTCTAGTACTTACTGCTTTGCAATGTTTTATTCAGTGTTTCTCTTTCAACCTTCCTCAATGTCAGTTGATCATTGCAGTACTGCTAGTCTGACTAGTATTTACTCTTTTACAAACTTCCATACCTCAAAGTATTACCTGTTTTTTAATGAGAAACTGCTGTTCTTTGAATCTTCCTGTTAGACTTTCACGAAGGGCCAGCTTTTTCTTCAAACACCCCTTGCGTCTTTGGATATTTCTAATTCCATTTGTTAAGTAGATGTCAGCTGTAAAATGATGTTAGATAATATAGAAGCTACCTGATACAACGAAATTACCCAGATGGTTACTATAAGCTTTAATTAAATATGCCTGCCCAAAGCGTGGTCCTGTAGTTGTTAAATCAGTGGAATTAGATCTTTAAATCTTTAAAATTTAGATATTTGCTTTCTTCAAAATGTATTTTCAAATTTTCAAATCCTCTACTCCTGCTACAAACTTACCTTCATTTTTAGAACGGGGATGGATGTGGATAACAGGTTCATCTTGGGACACAGGTGAATTGAACGAGCTCACGGTGAAGGATGCCAGCGGATATGGTTTGTTCGTAACAGGTCTGGTAACAAGGTCGACATTAGTTGACGTGCTGCATAGCAACGGGATGACGCAATCGATCACGTGCACAACACGTAGTAATGCCAGAGCGCGGAATGTCAGGGACTCTGCTGGACACGAGGCGATCTTCGGGTACCGCGCTAGGGCAGACGGTGTGAACAAACTAGGCACGACCGAGATGTGCTTTGGTAGACACTGGGGGGAAAGAAATGAGTTACTGAATAGAGGGACCATTGTATGAAGTAGGGTTAATACTTGCGTGAGAACTATAATATACCTGGATTAACACTAATTGTGTCAATAGAAGTATAATATAGCTGGATTAATACTAGTTGATTCGAGAGAACTATAATATACCTGGACTAATACTAGTGGAGTCGACAGAACTATAATATAGCTCGATTGATACTGGTTGGGTTGAGAAAACTATAATATAGCTGGACTAACATTGATTGTGTCAGGAGAACTATAATATAGCTGGACTAATACTAGTTGGGTTGAGAAAACTATAATATAGCTGGACTAATACTAGTTGGGTTGAGAAAACTATAATATAGCTGGACTAATACTGATTGTGTCAGGAGAACTATGATATAGCTGGACTAATATTGGTTGGGTCTGGAGAACTATAATATAGCAGGATTAATACTAGTTGGGGCGTAAGATATGACTAGAAAGATACAGGTAAAGTCGAGAACTCTGATCAGTGACAATAAATCATGCCTCACTCTTACCTTGCTACTGAATTTGCTGGACACCCCTCCTAGTGACGTCACCAACAACTGCACCAGCTCAGTATCATTTTCGCAGGTCCAATTTGGACTGGGGAGCAATTGTAATTCGTTGGTCAAAACCTCGTCTAATTCAATCGGGCAAAACTGTTTTCCTCGCGAGGTTACAGAACATGGCTTATTCTCGGCTCTTCCCTGTAGCGAGGGTTTTCTACCATTGTTCGTAATCTCTGCTTTGTTACCACGCGTCCCAGGACAATTATCCCCAGGACAATTATCCCCAGGACAATTATCCCCAGGACAATTATCCCCAGGACAATTATCTCTGGGGCGAAGGACATCGCTGGTACCCGAATTCTTCCTAGAAGTTCCAATATTCTGCCCCACCGTTTCACCGCCCCACCGATTTTCCATGGAATGTTTAACATTTGCGTCAGAATTAGTTCTACTTATATTCTCATCATCCTGTGATTCAATTTTCAAATCAATGGCCTTCTCAGCGATCGTAAGGAGATCACCGTAAACCTCGAGTTGTCCAAAAAGCCGCGAAATATCACCGTCGTTCTTGGCGGACTGATTCGAACAGCAAGGGCTGTCATTTTGCACCAGCCTTTGTTTTGAGGATTTATTCTCGTGTTTGGTCACAATCGCTCCAGCTTTCGTTTCCTTTTCATCGACTAAATCTTCATATTTCTGTAAAATCGTCTTAACGTTCGACAACAAGCCGTTCTCTGAACCCCCATTCACTCCGACTGGTCGAGATTTCCTCTTCGGCTTTCGCTTGATCTTTGTGTACAACTGAAAGCATTTTTCTCTATTTTCTCTGTCGTTGCTACACAATGAGTACGTGAAGTCTACCGCATTCTCCCAAGTCGTGTCGTATTGCAGGTCGTTCCAAAGGGAATCGACATGTTCGGAGCCGGCCGAGTTCGTCTTGCTGTAAGATGAATCCTTGGGCTTTTTGTCGAAGAATGTTACTACCTGATCAACCGGGTTAGACGAAGGAACACCGAGTGTTGGCGATTCAGGCGTTCGTGTCAGCTGGGAGATTTGAGTAAAGGATGGAACATACGAGAATGGCTTTGGAATCCGACCAGACTGTGTTAAGCTTTCTGTTGCAAAAAATACACATCACTTCAGATAAAAGAAAACAGTGTTCACAGAAGAGACACCGATATTGGAACCTGGAGTTTTCTTTGTTCAAACAAGGAGGGGTTTCGTTTTAAACAAATCAGCAAATTTGTTTACATTTTCAGTAAACATAATACTCATGTGGTAACCACATAATCAGAAGCCATAAATTTTGCCTACTTCTGGTAAAAATGGTACACTATTTAATATCAGTTTACATGAAGTATTATAAGTTTAGGCATTCTGATTGGCTCAGCCTGAAAAATGTGAACAAATTTGCTGATTACTTCAAAACAAAACCCCTCTTTGTTCTTCATTCATTCCTTCATCCAACAAACATACCAACAACATCCTGAAGCGCTCGTATTCTTGATAATGATTTTCTAGCCGAGGACTTTGGGACAAGGAGTCCGGGCGCTGGGTATATCTTTATCTAAACATTGAAAATCATTCTTAATGCGTGGCTTGAATGTTGAGAACTACAGTACCTGCCCCACAAAACATCACCAGAGACAAACACACTAATATTTGCACGGGTTTTCACACAACTTAGGACTAAACCTTTAGATATCTTTGTTAAAACCTGGTTTACATTTCGCTGTGAGTATCGTGAAAATGCCAAGGTGGCTGATGTGTGATTGAATATTTCTATATGTGTGCACAGCCAAGAAAGACCGATTTAAATACAGAAATAAAGATAACATCTGGACTATTTTTCATCCGTGAAAATGATTTTTTTTATGACAATTAAGACTGAATGGAAAGTCTTTCTAGGAATATCTTGGCAGTTGTTTCATGATCAGAAACCAAGCGTATAATTCCTGATTTTACTCCAAACCTGATCCATATCTTACTCAACTAATAACCCCAAAGGATTAAATAGTTTATTAAGAATTATATCAGCAGATTTTGGACATGAAATTACTACCCATGTCTCTGTGTATACGGCAGTTCTCCTCGATTATTATAGAGTGAACAGTGGTTTTACCTGTTTTGCTTTTTGTTTAAGAGAAGCGAATCTTAGTTTAGGGAAAAGCTCGTTATCCACAGGCAGCACAAGAGACTCAAAACACACATCGCTCAGGACATTTTCATTCACACCAGAAGGATCCAGTCGTTCCAATTTCAGGAGCTACGACAAAGAAAACAACAATATGAAGGATTCAGATGAATAAATGTGTACATATGCTAAAAGTATTTTTTTATCCTAAAGTGTTCAGAACATTCCTAGGTACCATTGTGATGGTTGATCGTGGTTCTACTATCTCAGTCTTGTGATGGTTCTACTATCAACCTTGCAAGCTGAAAAATTAGTTCGACCACAGTGGGAATAAAACGTGCAACCTTCAGTTTTCCAGTCGAATGCTTTTCAAACTGAGCTACCAGTCAAGGCAGTTTCAACTGGTGATTTTTCAGAAATCAATCTAACTCCTTCCATACCTATGTTTCTGGAATATATAAAACCAAGGTTACCGGTACCAGTTCAATTCACACAGGGATCAAGCTAATTCTTTAGCTTGTCCAGTTAGCCACTCAGACAAGCACCATCACAATATTAATTTATACACCTAAGTCATATACTGTACACTATTTCTAGCTAGTATTTCTTATTCTGGGAATGCAATTTCACGGTGTGAACGCTGAATATGCAGTACTAGTACTAGTTGAAGTCAAAGACTCTGTATATAGATGGACAAGAATACCCAGACAATTCCTTTCATAATAATTTTATTACCATCATACCTTATTACCACTTGGCACAACCACCAGACCTTTCGGTTTAACCAGATGAAGGAGAAAATCAAATCTTTCCCGTGGACAAGCAGCACCACAGTAGAGTCGATCATACTTTTGCACAGTTGTATCAATGTGAAAACAATTGCCGTGAATAAACTGAGGATAGCATATCTTTTTCTTCAACTTTGGGGAATACATAAAGAACTCCTCACAGCATTCATTCGCATGTTCGACAAGGTTCGCTCGCAACTCTACACCATGATTGACCCCTTGAGATCCTATTACGTACCCAGCTAACATTGAGAAATATCCCGTTCCACTACCTATGTTTAGAAATGACATCCCTAAATGAAAAAGAAACAGACATTAGTAATATGGACAACACATTGTTGGTATTGTTTCAAAGCATCACTATGTCATATCATATCATTCACAAACTTCAAAGATTTAGTCAATGCATGTGACAAAATGAATTATGTGATGCTTGGAAACACATCAACTTTCTGAACAAGTCTTCACACAAATCTCATGTTATTGGATTCAATTCAATTTTCGTAGAAAACATTATCCTCACCACCCCTTTTTTTGGTCAGACAGAATATTTTCACAATTTATGCATCAGAAAATGTCTATAAACAATCGAAACTTTATTATCCTTAGAGCTTGTTGTTTTGAAGCACTTCTATAGTTGTGCCAAAAAAATGTAATCCAAAATAGCTCTGTCAGCATATTTGATAATTTCCAGCAAATGATTTCATAAATATTGCTGGATGAAATGAACACTTCCTTTCAAAAGGACAAACTGCATTGTATAATTACTTGACCACATATTTTTTTACTGCAATGCTTTTAGGAATTAGGAAGTAAATTACACTAATAAAGGTCTTAGCTAGGTTAACAGGACTAAAATCTTTGCAGTGAAAATGAGTAGATAGTGAGTGGAACTATTGTTGTGAGTGTTTATGCAGTGATTTTAGATTTAAGTTTAAAAATCATGTACATTTCTGACTAACCAAACAGAAAAGGGGAAACTGACATTTCATAGACTTGTTAGGGTACAAAGGTCTGTCATCAACCAGCGCTTACAAATGATACAGTAAATAAACATGAATTTTACATAATGAAGCAATTTTAACTGGTACAGTATTACACTCGTCTGAGTCTACCTGGGCTAGCAAGAGGTATAAATTCGTTCGATAATGAATCAGAGTTTTGCAGATGAACCATCCTGATAAGCGATATGTCAATTATTACTCATGGATTATCGAACGAACTATTATTTTATTCACTTCCCTAAGTTCTGAGTTTCTAGTGCTGTAAATTAAAATATTAGCATGGATGAATACCGTTTTTGATTAAATTGTATTAAACTCAGGAATTAAAGAACAAACATCTCTTTGGTAAACTAAAACATGTTTGCTATCATGGAATTATTGGAATACGGTGTTTTTATTGTGAAGAACAAAAGCTAGAACAGTGATACAACTCGCCCTTTAAATTTCACGATGTAGCAAAATACTACCTCGAATCGAACGAAAAATAAACACAGTCATGATTATTCAATATTAAAGGTTATCGGGCCGATAACGTACCTTCTTTTAGGTCTAATGCTTCTAAGACTGTAGCGTACATATGTGGGGCACTCATATGCAAGTGATCGTCGCCTCGGACAGGATAATCCCCATAGGCATCGTCGTGTAAATATTCGGGCAAGAACGCCGCTCTGGGTACGTTTAGGAAGGCACTTTCAACTACGGCGCTGGATATGATCGACAATTGCTTGAAATTCTTTACCATTTCCTCGTTCAACTCTCCCAGACTTCGCCAGGCCATGACCTTCGCGATGTATCGAGGCACCGGAATAGAGCACGATGTTGTTTTTTTTGCTATTTCAAGCAAATCAAACCGAACAGATTTTGGTTTATTTTGAGTTTCTTTTTCGCCATGTCACTGAAGTCGACATGCGTTCCACAACAAGGACCATGATGCAATCCGAGAACAATGACCTCAATATTACCTGGAGTCTGCGGCCTTCGTTGAAAAACACCATCTTAATAAAAATATACTCGTAATTTTATTTATCTATTTCGCTTAGCCAGTCGAACACACAGAGATACAAACACAAACTGCACTAATAAAACTACAAAATGTTATTTGGAGCTACTGTTCTATTATATTTTAATATTCTATTATTTAATTCACAGAAAAAAGGGGGGGAAATGAAACATAGATAAATCTGTAAACAGTACTAACACCGACTTGAATTCAGGTCAAACTTTTCCATACCAAACACGGATTTATTTGCAAAAGCATGTAAATTATCTATGGCTTTGAAGCAATTTTAGAGGACCACAAGTTTATCAGTATACTGTCATTTTCATAGTCCCTGAACAGTACAGATCTCTGTGCTTAATGTATTATGGAAAACTTAAACACTATTGAATTGCGACAGAACCTTCTGAAGAATGCACCGAGTAAACTATGACGAATAATAAAAGCTTTATTTTTGCATTCAAGCGTTTAACTACACTACAGATTACAATACAAGCATTAAAGTGAGTATAAATACTGTACAAGACAACCTATCAGATTTATGATGAAAGCAATATAAATTTGCATAGTAACATTACTTTACCAAAAATCTTGATATTCTTAATATCCTGATATTCTTAATGCGCGCATACTTAATTTTAAAATACGTTGGTGCTGTTGGAAACGTTCTAGAAGCCGCAGTTGATGTAGAGTTCTGTAATATTGAAGTAAGATCAAGGGTCTGTAATATTCTACATAATTCTACCTGCAAGGTTATTTTGAGTTTTTTTAATACGAGCAAATAAAGTCGAAAGAACACGACAGGCCACACTGGAACTGGTCATGTTTTTTGTATGCATATTTAGAATGGTTTCTGCAACCACTAACTTTTGAAAAAGATTCTTTTTCAAAACTTGGAATATTTCCTAAAACTTGGTGCTAATGGACCGAATCGATACTGCAAAATTATTTTATCTACATTCAAGGTTTCAGGGCGGAGGATATTGAAGTTACCGCTTGCAGTTGTTGCAAGGAAATATGGTTTGCATAAAAAATATGTTTTTAACAAGAAAAACAATCATTATCTCAACTCGTAGTCAAACCGACTACAGCAGAAACAACTACCGTTATCATTTTTAACTATGATGAGAAAATTTGCAGATTTTTATCTTCCTTTGTGAATCATTGCATATTCGCATAAAACTTAAGTTATCATATACTATACTACACGCGTTCTCGCTTATAATGTTACCATTTCCCAATGGCGACGACTTCAGGTTAATACGTGATCTCGATGCGTAACCATGGAGACTAAAATTCCATTGGCTGTTCGGCGGGGGGAGCGGCGTCCGACGTAGGAGGCTGGGCACTAGCAGGTTCGGCAGGCGGATTTTCGGGAGGGGCCTCGGGCGGTGCGACTAAAATGGATTGATAATAGATTGTGTTACACCAATGCATTTTACACGGAAGGAAATATAACTTTTGCTTTAGGGTTTAACCCGCCACCTCTATGGGTAAAAACTGTGCCATTTTGGTGCATACTGAAGTTGCCAGCTGTGTCCTACTGGGGTCAGAGATAAAAAGATAGCTACGAACCTGGTGGTTCGGCAGACTTTTCAACTTCTGTGTTGTTTGTGGTTACCGCGGCTTCGTCTGTGGATCTAAATAGTTTAAAAACGTCAGAAACGTGGAAAAATTACACGAACTTGCCAGAATAGACCTTTCTCGTGATGACGTCAAACGCGGAACGTCTGATGTTACGCAAAGTTTGATTGGCTCCTCAAAACTAACGAGCCAATCAACTTCGTGTAACATCAGACTTTTCCCGCGCTTGATGTCATTACGAGAAAGGTATTTGAATTACAAAACGGTTCACACAGTAAAAAAAGATCTTTTAAAAACAGTTTCAATACCCGGGTTGTTTTTTCGCGTCTTGGGCGTTTGGTTGAATCTCGTCGTTGCTCGTTTCCTCGGGTTTATTTTGATTTTCGGTCACAGGTGCAGAGCTCGAGTCCACTCTAAAAAAACAATGAAAAAACGCCATTAAAGAAAACATAAGTTTTGTATTCAGGCAGAGTTAAAAAAAGTCAGACACACACAGCCCCTAAACATCATCTCATGGGTAAGACGATAACCGAGTCGAGAAATATGCAAGAACTTACTTCTCATAATATTCTTGTACGTTTGCATAGGACATCATATAAGTAGTTGCACTGATGAAGGCCCGGGTGAACGGATCGAAAGCTTTGCGGTATTAAATACTTAGTACGTGGTGTACCTACAAGCTTACGAACTCTCCTGACGAAGGCCCTCAGGTCGAAACGTCGAGAAGTGTTTTGTCTATTTTAGCCAGTTGTTATACAACATTTTGTTAAGTTTGCTAAGTTGTACCTACAAGCTAATTTACTTAACTTACTTTTCGCCATTAGTCTCGTTGTTTTGTTCCGGATTTGAGGGTTTTTCTGGCGACTTCGGGTCGGTAGTCTTTGGTGAGGCGGCTGGTTTTGGCGAGCTGGTCTTTGATGTTGGTGCACTTGATGATTTCGGCTCCGTCTTCAATTTAACGTCTTCTGCTTCGCCGGTTTTTTCGGCGACTTTTGGTCGCTTGGCTGTCGGCTCGTCTTCTTTATGCGAGTTGGCATGTCGTCGTTCTCCGCCTTCCTCCGCCTCATCTTCGGAATCCGAGTACTCCTCGGGTCTAGCGATCTCTTTGTCCGATGCCATAACTAGAAAATAACGTTTCAGTGGTCATTACTCTGAAATTCTCAAGTCCTGAGCAAAATAATTCAGATCGGATTAAATTCAAAGCAAACGCAACAGGAGATTATAAGACACTTTGCACCAGAGACTATCAGATTAGAGTAGATCGGATTAAAACAGATCAAACGGGATCACACCGTATGATAGACCCGATTATACTATAACCTACAGATTGGATCAGTGCAGATCGGAACCGATCAACAGGGATCAGACCTGGATAAACAGGGATCAGACTTGGATCGACAGGGGTCAGACTTGGATAAATGGGATCAGACTCGGATAAACAGGGATCAGACTTGGATAAACAGGGATCAGACTTGGATAAAGAGGGAGCAGTAAGGGTTATATCATATGTATCCATCTGAATCACTTACTGCTGATTCTCTTATCAGGTTTGCGATCTTCCTCTTCATCCTCAGCCTCGCTATCATTTCCTATAGCGTGATCATCAGGTATACCTAAATCACAACATATACCCCTTTGAGTTCACTCATGATCATATCGCGATATAAAGTCACAGTTTAGAGATACTGTTGTTTCCTGGTTGTTACCGCATTTTATGCAAATATATATTTATCAAACTTGCGATTAGGCTACAGTATACTTTCCTTACTCTGACAGCATTTTGCAACGAAACTTTGTAGTTTTACTAATTTTACAAACATGCACTTACTACCTGTGGTTTTAGGGATGTCGTTCTACTAGTTCAGATGAGAATTCCCATCTATTTTGCTATTGCTGGAAACAGCCTTTTCTAGTGACATAAAGAGTGATATTTTCTATCATTTGCTACATCAACAACCTCTTGCAATTACTCACGTTGCATCTGGACTCCTGGAGCGTGTGGAATCATACGCAAGTTCTCAAAAAGCCTTTCCCTGAGAAGAAAAAGAAACGATTTCGGTAAGTTGATGGACCAGTTGATGAAGCCTGGTTTCCATGACTCACTGATAGTCAGCGAAGCCATTTCCTGTGGCCTTTGACAGAGGAAGTATTATTAAATCAACAAAGATTCTCTCATCAGTGACCACAACCTCAGACAGGCGGACAAACATTGAAACTTACTTAGTTCTGTCTAAATATTCCTGTTGGTTTGAATTTGGCATGTTTGATGGGCTGATGTGAAGTTTGAAGTCTGGACCAAAGTACTCAAAGTAATCATTATATGGTAGCTCTAGAGAAAAATATGGATATTAAGAAGCCCCACACATCCTCCATCATCATCCCACATATCCCTATCATCACCCCACACATCCTCCATGCTCACCCCACATCCTCCATGATCACCCCACACGTCCTCCATCATCACCCCACACATACTCCACCAGCATCCCAGATATCCCCATCATCACCCCACAGAACCATCACCTCCCCCCCCCATCACTATCATCACCAAAACACTCACCATTAGCAATATCAAGATCCAGTGCAACCGAAGTCTCGTATGTCCAACATCTGGCAACATTGCGAATGGTATAACCACCTCCTCCCAGCATTAGCAGTGGGATATTAAACTTCTTCACAAATGAAACACATTGTGCATGACCTAAGATAAAAAGGAGTTGATCCTTACCAGATCTCTTGGAAGAACAGCTTAGAACTGATAGAGCTATCCAGTATAAATAAAGTTAGTTTAGTTTAGGTTTCCTCCTGTAGTAACACTGAATCAATAAGAGTAGTTTAGCATTTATTGAGCTATCCAATTTAAATAGATAAAGTTAATTTAGATCAAAAGTGATGACTGAAAAAACCTTTTAATGAGAGGTTAAAACATCCTAATCTGTCACCAGCCAAAGAATCTGCCCCACATTGAAGAACAACAGCATTTGGTTGATAAATCTCCATGACTTTTGTAATAATCTGAAAAACACAAGAAATGTTTGCTTTATCATCTGGAGTTTGACGGCTAATTATATATTTGAATTTAGTCTAGCTGACTCAAGCTTGAATTAATACAAAATGCCTTTATCATTGGAGGTTTCATGATGTATGAGCATTGTTTAATAGATGGATGCAAAATATGGATAAACTATATGCATAGCATATCCACTCATCCACATATATTAAAAGAAGATAATATAGCAGTAAAAATTGTAAGTTTAAAGGATCTTCTGTCAAGAAATATTTGTTTCATACTAAGACTAAGAGTATGGTTTTGAACTCGAAGTCCACTCTAAGAAACAAATTTTGCTCTACCACTATATTGGACATAACTCGTCATTGAAT